ACGCGCCGCCGGCAGCCGCGGTCCCCGTCGCACAGGCTCACGCCCTGCTGCCAGCAACCAGCCCCAGCCCTGCCAACCACCCGCTGCGCAAACCATCACCCCAGGGAAGCGTTCCTTACCTGCTGCTCCACGGCACCTGGAGATGCAAATGGCCCTGCGCAGCAACAACAGAGAAAGGTGGTTTTTTTGAGGTCAGAGATGTCACACAAGCCAACTCTACACCAAAACGAAACCCCACCTGAGGGGCTGAAGGGGGCACGAGGACCAGCACAGCGCTGGAGAAACTACCACAAACTGTCCCCACAGCCCAACCTAAATCAAGCTTCATTATTAATGCCCTGAAAAAATCCCAGCGGCCAAACCTCCACAGGGAGACAGACCTGAGGTAAAAGCAGCAATGCAAGTCAAAGAAATTTGTTTTGCAAAGGGGCCCAAAGACAACCATATGCTTACAGCAAAACATAGTACAGGACCATTGCTTGTTGCCAGCATGCAATGTTCGCATGTGCTTTACAGACAGTCAATCCTCATCACAAAAATTTCCATCAGAATAGGAATAAGAGAGAAGCAATTGTTTCTGACAATTCCAACTATGTAGAAAGCATTTAAAAAATATCGTAATCAAATCTCTTCCTTCCAGCATACGAAAGGAGACAAGTTTATCAGCACTTCCTAAATTAAAACCAGTTTATTTTTCAAGGTTGTTTTTTTTTTTAATATAAAATAACATCACAAGTCTGCTTTTCACAAGGGGCTTACTAGAAAGTGATTCTATAAAGTATCCTTGAAATCTACATTCATGCACATAGAAAATCCAGGAACTGAAGAAGAGTCAGAGCTGCTGACACATCTCCACTTGCTTTTCAGATGTGAAATCCTTCACTTGGGAAAAGCTACAGCAGCCCTTGACGTTTCAAGTCTTCATAGGTCTTTTTATTCACCACGTTCCCACTGGAATCCTCATATTCCTCCTAGAACGGAACGAACAGTTTAGAGACACCTAGACACAGCCCAGCTTGTACTACAGCATTTGAATTTTTGCTCCAGCAGCACCGGCCGAAGACGACCATCCTGCCCAGAACCTCTCTACACGAAGGTATTGATCTACCAGCAGGCTCCATGAGAAGAGCTCAGAGTCAGAATACTGACAAGCTGTACTACTGGCTGTATTTCCCACAGTTGCCCTGCATACTGCTGAAAACCGGTTTGAGATAGAAGTTTAAGAAAAGGCACTAGTATAAGTGAACACTGCTCATAACAGTTCCTTTTTCATCTCACAAAACAAAGATGACGTTGGTACTATAAAGCACCATATTAAAAGATTCTTACACAAAGGGCTGAGTCTGTCCCATCAGAACTACTTTCCAATACAGCACAAGTGCTTTTCATACATCACCGCTAACAGGAGCTGTGCAACCAGCAGCGTAGGTTCCTGCTTATCTCTCCAGCATGCAGGGGACTCTCTTAGAAATCCTTTCGACAGAGCCGGGCAGTTCAGGCAAGGTAAATGGGGGGTTCTCTGTACCCAGGACTAGAGACATCCAAACGCCTCTGTGACATCTCACCTCTGTATCGGGCTGCCATCTCTCTGAAGCCTTCTGTTGTTTCAGCTTTGCCCACACTGTAAATACAAAGTCATACAGGATCTGATGCCGCTGCCCTTGAGATACCAGTTTTTAGTCTATTAAAATATATATGAGGGTTGTGGGTTTTTTTGTTGTTTTCCCTTTCTTCTAAAACATTGTCACTTCAGCAGTCGGGGAATGCATCTAATATCCATTACAAACATATCATTCCCCTGTACAGTTTACTGAAAGGCACAAGAACTAAAGCAAACAAGGCTTCAAAGTGATCATTCAGGATGAGACACAGGAGACAAAGGTCCAGAAACACTACTTAGAGATACAGCTCCAAAGGTAATAGTAGCTTGTTTGAGAAATCAAGGCTTTACCCGATTAGTTTATTTTAGGCAAGAATTAATCTACCTTCAAGAACCATAACCTATATCTGTTAACCTAAGTGGGGCAGATTCAACAAACCACCTCTGCACGAGGTAGCCTCCTCAAACCATCAGCACAGATTAGCCACATGAAATTACCATCACTGTAAGTCCTAAGTACTACAGGCTTTTAAAAATCTGCCTATAGGCTCTACCATTCCTGAAGGTTTTTCTGGCTTCCCCATGAAGATATTGACGAACATCAGTTAAGCAAGAGTTACATGGGATGATGTAGCCACACTCTGCCTAAAGAAATGGTGGCCCATTGCACTTGGCTGAGATTTTGCACACAAAGCATCACAGGCAGAACAGCCCGCAACAAACGAACACTTCGCTGACAATCCCAGCAAGCACCTACTCCTGCCGGTATCCAACAAAGGAAAAAAGCCATTCTCCTTTTAAGAGCTGGGAGGGATGGTCCAAGGAAGGGTCATCCCACATGCACCATGTTCCTTACCCTCTTTCCCAAAACTGGTCTCTGGTCATAGGGTAAGACAAATTTTTGGCAAGAGCTAACACGAGTGTTCTTACGCTACGTGTTCCCTGTTCTGCCATCATTACTTACGTGAGACTGCATCCTCAATCTGTGTGACGTTGGCGAAATGTGCAGTGTTGGGAATGCCCAGGCATCTCATCCCATGAGCATGTCGCCACTCCTGGGGAGAAGAGGCAAGAGATCAGTGTATGAGGCGGGAATGCCTCTTCATCCACAATGCCAAAGACTATAAGGACATGCTAACATCTGGACAGGGTGAAACAAATACTATCAAAATACAAATCTACCAGTCCTAAAAACCTCTATAAGAATATTTTTTTCTGTATTTTAGACAGTAACAATACACTGGCAGTCAACAGGCAGTCTGTACCAATCAGATCTGGACGCTGGAATTAGTGTTCAAACAAGAAGGGACCATAAAGAAATCCGCAGAAGAGATTTTAGCATGTCCTACATGATTTGTCGTTCCAGTTGCGTGGCCCTGCAGCAGCACCCCAGACCCACAATTTAGAAGTGGAAGAAATGCCACTCAGGCACTCCAGTGATTTACTAGTTACTTATCATAAATATTATCCGAACATAGTACTGGTGTTTTTGTAGCAAAAAATTACTTACTGCAAAGTGACGCTGAAAAGCTTTGGGTCCTCGGTAGGTGTAGTTACCACAAATCTCACAATTGTAGTTGATGTTTAAACCATGCAATTTATATAGCCAGTATGGGATTGGCTGACAAGCGAAGAGAAACAACAATTAGGGCAAAGGGCAAGGCAGATTCAAACAGAAGAGTACTGTGGAGTCAGTGACACCTCCCACTTTTCCAGAGCCAACAATCTCGGTTACCTTGCCATCCCAACCCAGAGGCAGATTTTTAGGATTGTAAATGATTTCATTTTCTTCATCTTCACTCTCACTCTCACTGATCTGCTCTTCCTCCTCTTCCTCCCTCTCTTCCCCTGTCCGTGCTTGCTTACGCTGTACATTCTCATGGGTAAGGTGTCTCTGTTCCTAGAGAAACAGAGAAGGAATGTGGGAAAAGAGAAGAAGTTGTTCACACAACATGACAGCAAGAAAATAAGGGCAAACTCTTGCAGCGCAAAACACTTCCTCAATGTGCAGATGGAAGGGAATGGAAGACATTCCAGTGTGAAACAGAGAACCCTCATTTTATTTAGCCCAAAACCTTAAGTTTTTAGTATAACATTTCCTACTTTCAAAGAGTCAAAAACTTGTATGACCATTAGCACTTCCAAGGTGACAAGCTAACAGCAACAGCCACCCTGTTAAAAGCAAACACCCCAGACTGAAGCAAGGACTTAAGGCAAGCATCAAGGCAGAACAAATAAAGGTTTGCAATACCCTGTGACTTAGGCATAAAATAGAAATTATCTACATTGATGTGGTGCCTAGGAGAAGAGAAGGGGAAAAAAAAAAACAAAACAACAAAAGACAAGACAGACATTCCCAGGGAAACATGTAGCTTCTGTATGTGGGTCTGTTCACAAAAACCTGCCAAATAATTAGCTAATGGAAATATAAATATAATCCATCATATTCTACTTACTGACAGAAAAAGCTATCTGCTAACATGTACTTTA